CTTATAAGCCTCCATGAATGACCTTGGAAAACTAGGCTTGTGGGAGCCTCCATTAGATGAGAACACTAAACCCTAATTTTCTAGAGAGAGAAAATAAATTCCTTTTTCCTTCTTCTAAAAATCACCCCTAAAATATACATAAACCATGTATATTTATAGGCAACATAAAGGTAAAGAAAAGGAAACAACGAATCCTTCTCAATCTCTAATTTACATGTCTCAAATCTAATATGATTCCAATATCAAGTTGGGCTATGAGTGAGAATCCATTGGGCCTATTATTTTATTGGCTACAATGAATTAATAATTGGCCCGGTCCACGGACCCAATTCAATTAATTCATAAATTAATTTCTACTCCACTAAAAGAAATTAATTGAACTCCAATTAAATAATAAATAACCTCTAAGTCAATATTACACTTTGACCCCTCTATGCATAATTAGTTATCGAATAAATAAAGCCATCAATCCGACTACTTAATTAATATATTTATTTTGATACCTTTGATTATTTCTGGCTCGATCACAATAAAACATTTGTTTGACAAAAATAATAATTTAAATAAATAAATATATAATAAATCATTTTGTCTAAAAACACACGAAGGCCTTCGAATTTACTTTGTGATCAACCATAATCAATACAAAATAAATACAAGTAGCAATGATGCAAATATTAAAAATATAACCCTCTAACTATTAATTACATAACTACCCAAAGTGTCGGTCTAAGGATCCCGAAGAATCCGCCGAACAAATCAAAGTAATTATTAATTAATAAAAGAGTTTATACTTTTCTCATGCTTAAGAGTCAAATGCCATGACAGTGATAGGGAGCAATTGCGTACGATAACTCTCGCAATATATCTCAACCTAACGCGGATCCAGTTCAAATCTTAATTAATTATGAGTCCATCCATAATTACCGACTATGAACTATTTATGATTACTATTTATATATCATGCATTGATTGCCATCACATACATATATATAAATATCTCTTGTAATCAAATGGACACTATCAATTCTATAATGAATCGAAACATAATACATTGAATTCACCAATTGTATAAAACATAAATATTTCAGAAACTTCAGGAACATATGTCACTTTAATCCAAACAGGAATTTACTATGCCAGGGCATACAAATCCCAACAGACTATCTATCAGAGATGGCCATGGATCAACTTCCACAGAGCAGACCATTGTGGGAAATTCATATAATTAAGTACCCCACAAGCAATGCAGCTGGAAATATTATTTTCAAGCTTCACCATGCACTTGGAGATGGCTTTTCTCTGGTGGGTGCTTTCCTTTCTTGTCTACAAAGAGCTGATGATCCTTCTCTTCCTTTAACATTCCCTTCCCGCCAATCGAACACAAAATTAGAGGGTGACTGCGACAACATTTTCTGGCAACTGCCTCGGATATTCTCCGGGCTCATCAACACGGTCTTTGATTTTGGATGGAGCATTCTGAAGAGTAGTTTGGTGGAAGATGATCGGACACCGATCCGGTCTGGTGGTGATGGAATGGAGTTCAAGACAATTGCTATAACAACGATGACATTTTCTCTTGATCGCATCAAACAAATTAAGGCCAATCTTGAAGTGGTAAACTATAAATTTTTTAAGCTTTTAGTTACAAATTACTTAAAACTTTGGCATGCTTGCTTTCTTTTTTGTTTCCTTTTTGAAATTTCATATGTTAAATATATCTGTTAAAAAAATAAAAAATTATAATCAAGTTGCTTTCACTGTGAACTTACACCCTTTCCTACTGGATTAGTTGACTGACATCATCTAATCAATTCAATGAATGAAGGTACAAACTCATGGTGAAAATTTCTTCGTGAGAGACTTGTTCTTAAAAATATAAGAATTACGTTATTATTATTATTATTATTATTTTATTTTTTAATTTTGAACAGACGATAAATGATGTGCTTGTGGGATAATATTTTATGGAACTCGGTTATACATGCAAGCAACAAGCCAAGATGAGGTAAGCAATTCACATTCAACAGCACTAGTGTTGCTCAACACTAGAGCAATTGGTGGATCAAGTCCGTTGACGAGATGGTCCGAAATGATACTGATAAGACATGGGGTAACCAATTCGCATTCTTGCATGTGCCCATTCCCACCCTATCCAATTCTGAGCAACCAGACCCTCTCAATTTTTTCTTGGCTACACATCAATTAATCAAGAGGAAAAGAAACTCTACAGTTGTTCATCTCATCGGTAGACTTTTAGAGACACTCCGAAAATTTTAAGGCCCTGAGGTAAAAATGCATAGTATTGAAAAATTTATAATTGACGAAACCTGACTATCGGGTGTCTCACATAGCATGAGTTCATGACTTTGTGTGACACCACACGATAATTGTAGCATTGCTTATAATATTGATTTTAAATATTTTTTCAATTTAACAAATTAATGAGTGTGCCTGTTGCCAGAGTTGGAAAATACCTATGACGAATTTGGTGTTACAGGCAACGGCCAGATATATTCATAGCATGCTAAGGAACTCCTGCATGGCAATCTCAAATTTGATTGGCCCTGTGGAACGGATGGCTTTGGCTAATCATCCCATTAAAGGCTTTTACTTTAATGTGGCCGGTGCTCCACAGGTACATTGTGCATGCACATGTATTTTTATCCTGATATATTAATTAACATGAAGAATGCTAGTAACAGTCGCGTTATTCTCACAGCTACAACTGTCACTGTTAACATTTAAATGTGACGAGTTACATTAAGAGTAAAGTTTGTTTGATAATCTTTACTAAAGAACTTGACTAATTGATCAAATGTACGTAGTAATTGTAACAAAGTGTGTGAATTTGCAGGGTCTTTCAGTAATAATGGTGAGTTATGCGGGAACATTGAGAAGTGTGTGAATTTGCAGAGTCTTTCGGTAACAATGATGAGTTATGCGGGAACATTGAGAGTTTCCGTGGGGATGGAAAAAGGCTTCATGGATCCACATAAGTTCAAGTCATGCATCGAGAACGCCTTTGAGATGATGTTCAAAGCCGCAATTTGATGTGCTGCACCCGCAAATTAATTACTGTGGTAAAATCAAATACTATTGTATTTGCGGTTCAAGGCAAAAACATTGCTTTATGTTATGTGCGGTAAGAGGGAAGGAATTAAGGGGTGTGGAGTGAAAATAGAAAGGAATGAACGAACTTTCTTTGTTTGATAAAGTTGATATAAGAAGAAAAAAAATGAAAAGACGAAGAAATGATGGAAGACAAGTGGATTATTATAGAAGTTTTAAATTAAATATTATCCTAAATTAAAGAAGTTTTAAATTACAATTCTATCACATGTTACAACATTATAAATATTATTGGCCGGATATAATGGTAAAAACAATTAAAACTTTATATTTCTTTCTCTTTTAATGAACATAATAAATTATTAGTTTCTTGTCTTGTCTTCTCTTCTCTTCTCTTCTATCCAACCGAATAAAAAAAATGAAATGCATAATCTCTTTCCTATGGATTTCTTATCCATCCCTTCTTCCCTACCTTCCATTCAATTATTTTTCTTTCTTATCGAACATAGCATTACTTCCAGATAAACCAAATGAGCATTCTATTTTATTTCTTTTTTGAAAAAAAAAAAAATCATCTCTATTGCTGTTAAACTTGTGAATTGCCCGAAGAAAACCAAGATTTTGAGACCTGGAAATATTGAGATTCCAAATAGAACACCTTTTTTTTTTTTTTTTTTTTTCCTTCAAACGTTAAAGCAATTTATACATAACATACAGTAACTTACATTAATTTACCAGGCACACTACTAGTAAGGTACAGTGTGCCTCATAATGGGCAAAAGGAAGCCCAGCAATCTAGGCTTCACAAACGGCCCAAAATATTAGCCCAAAGAAGTAAAAAAATAATGGCCCAACAAAAATAGGCCCAAATTTTTAGGCCCAACAAAAGAGGCTTAAAACTATGAAATAGTCATTGATAATGGCTCAGCTTTTTCATAATTTTCTTTGCCACACTCTTACTATAAAGTCATTTTAAACCACGAATTAATTATGCAATCATTCCAAAAATATTACCAAGGATGAACAATAGTGGATGTATAGAGTATATATATTTCTTTTACCTATTTTTAAAAAAGCTTTGGTACAATAGTGGACGTATAGGCTAACAATAGTTATTGTGCGAGTTTGAGTGTGATAGTACATACTTATGCTTAATTTTATAGTATCCAATTTCTAATACCCTATTTTAATAGCACTAATAATGAGTAATAGGCTATATTTTTAACGAATTTTATATATTAGTTCAATAAAAATTAAAATTCAAGATACAAAAAGTAACTTACAAATTTAACATTGAAAAACTTATACTTTTGGATGGACTCAAGATTTTTATGTGTGATTTTAGGTTAGGTGTTAAACAATGCAATGATAAGAAAATTTTTTAATTCAAAAATGTAATAATTACGTGACATTAAATTTTCAATTTAATTATAAAATACAATGTAATATGTTGCATTATGGTTATTACATGGATGATCTGTTTGGTTGTAATTGGTGTAAACTATGTGAATGTACATATATTAACCAAACAAGGAATGACTTGGTCGAGGACAGCCTCGCTACTATAACCAAACACCCAAGTTACTTGCGTTTAGTTCGCTAAGCTGTATCTAGGGTTTCAAATCCATCGCTATAAATTATGATATCCAGCCTCTCTTTTATTTGAACCTCACAGAAAAAATTAGATTTGGTGGCAATGATTTTCAGGCTCTACCTATGTCATAACACACACACACACGTATGTGTGTATATATATGCAGTTATATATGTATGTTTATATAAAGGGGGATCAATATGAGGAATCATCAATCAAGCGGAGTGCGATGATCAATTTCATGTGATTTATTCCTCTAATAAACCTTTGATTTATTCATACTTTTTATTTTATTTTTACAAGTAATTTTGGGGTAAAGTTGTTCTGGGTTGCA